CAGAAAAGAGAAGAAAGGTCCGTCAATCGCTGAGAATGATGATGTTATTGACTGCATCAGTAAGTATACTTTGCACCCTCTTATCAAGACATGATATCACAGCTATATCCAACATTCAATAATAACAAACGGACTTGCTTGGAATCAATAATAGTAAATCACCTACAGTAGTCCAGAGTCCTGTTGATTACTCCCAAAGCATCAATCAAGGATCCAAGTCCAACGTGTACATTATTATTATCCTGACCCCCTTACATAGAAGCAACTGTGGAGAGGCGACAGAACTCAATTAGCCACATCAGAAGCTCCACTCTGGGATGCTAAGGAGCCTAAGGTAGTACTTACTCCGTACGTAGATTCTCATATCTCATGTCAAACTACGGTTGACAATTATCCATACTTACATTATTGACTGATGTATATAGAAAAGTAATTTCCATAACAAAGACACAAAAGAGTAAACATAACATGAGGTCTATTACTAGGTATTGCAGCGCACCAATAATGACCCTCTCAAAATCAGGGGGCTCATCCAGTGTTTCGAATCCTCGGGACGGCAGCCCTCACTAAACCGCACTGGGTAAGTACTCTGGGGATGGCCGATCGTCATCTGAAATTGCTTCTTCAATCTGCACTCCTCTGCAGCCACAAGCGATTCGCCGTCCTTTCAGCCAAAATGCACAATCACTAACTAAGGTATCCATCTCTCTTCAACCAACCGCAGTAGACGATTAACTATGACCTAACAGCAGGACTTCCCAGATCTATATAAAATCAATTAATCATTCCGGACCAATGACCTGAGACTTAAATCTTGGTTATGGTTGCGCGCTCACCTCAGCACCTGGTACCTTAGGCCCCAGCATCCAGACCCAAGGGTACCTAACTTTATCCACCTCCCAAGTGCCCGACCGCATCGCGTCCTTGGAAATTGATGCTTGGTAGTCTACCCAGGGATAAGGCCAGGATTTTACACCAATCCAAGAGGATAATCCGCCTCCCTAGCTGATATCCTTTCTATCAATTGCCTTTCTACGAAGTCTCATCAAAATTTTTTATCCCTTGGGTTGTTTGCCTTGAGATTTAAGGTTGCCCATGACAGCAGGCGCAGTGTCCTGCCTTTGATCCGCTATCATTACTGAGATACTGGTATATCAAGTGTGCCTTGCATACCCCCATGCTTTTTCCTCAACGTCTCATACTGACTGGGGTGCAGGGAGGTCACTGAGAACAGAAGATATAATCAGTTAATTCGGGTGGTGATATCCAATATCCTAATCCACAAACACTCTGCTATTGCTGACAAGTATTGAGAAACCATGCAAGCCGATCGGTCTCGGTCCATCAAGTTCTATCATAAAGTCATAGCCTAAATGGCAAACCTAGATACAAGCCCCTGTATACCAAATGAAGTATATGCCATCTGTCAATCAATAAAGAACATCAGATGAAGAAGAGCAAAATGCACGCTTCAAACAACTTCTAGCCCTTCCCTCCTGACATAGCCGTTCCGCCTAACGAAACGGTACCCGAAGCCCCATACGCGGGAGGTGGTGTAGGGCTGGGAGACGGGCGTCGTGCGACGGGGTCCCGTCCACCAAGCGTAGATTGACTGGGGCCACCTACTTGGGGAGGCACGTCGCCTCCATCACCCGTACCGACGACGACTTGTTTGCCATCGCGCATGCGTCCAACGACCATTCCCTTCGCAACGGACTTGAGGACCGCCTTGCGGCTCACACCGGACGCGTCAATGTACACCAGGCCGACATTCTTGATACCGCCAGTCACATTGCTCGCCACATTACCTGCTTCCGCTCCATAGCGATGCGCAATCATCGTGCTGGCCGCCACAGAGCCAGATGTCAGCACATTGCGCGCACCCTGCTCGATCCCATCCGCCAAAGTTGAGAAGGCGATCAAGGACTTGTTCAAAATCCCTGGCTTGTAATCGCTGTCTTTTCTGTACTTGTCGACACTTTTCTGTTTTCCCTCTCGTCGGGTCAGAGTAGCACCAAAATTCTGTGCGACTCTACCCACTTGACCCACGGTTTTGGCGGAGAGATCTGCCGCGCCGTGAGAGAAGGTGCCAATCTTTCGGAATCGTGCGTGGGTCGTCTCAGAAAACGTCATTGGCTTGGGATTGGGTTTTGTCTTCTTGGTGAAGCTTTCGGCTCCACTGGTTAGGACGTTGGAGATATACGAAGATCCTGTCACAATCAAGCGGGATGCCATGGCAGACTTTTGGACAATGGTCGAGTTCTTATATGCTGGATGACGAGCCATCTGCAAGTATTCTTCCGACACATTACCGACGCTGATTTGGTTTCCCTCACCTTCGGCAGGGAGCTGAATTTCCACCGGTCCTATTAGTCCACTCATTAGCAAACTTGTCAGTCAGTGACAGAAAAGGGACGCTTACTCTTGGAGCCTGGCTTCACACCAGGTTTCTCCACCACTTCGTACCCTTCCATCTCACCGACAACACTGCCATTCTCCTCGTCAACCAAAACAATCTTTCCATGTGCGTCGCTAGAGGTAGCTTGGCCGGAGGAGATGTAACCTTCTCCGGGAGCATAGCTGGCCGGGTTATACGGAGCGTGCTGCTTTGGTGGAGGCGCTCGCTCGAGGAATGCGGTACATTGTGCCAAGATTGTTTCGAAGGTATCGACATCTTCCTGCGTCACTTGTCCGGGCCCGGTCCCAATTCCGAGGAATTGAATGCGAATGAACGCACCCGCATCAGGCCCCAGATCCCATCGAGGAATCAGATAGCTATTTGGGGGTTGGTGGTAGATCTGAGTTGTTGCAGGAAGTGCAAGGTCCAACTCAGGTGGGAGGTGTAAGTGAAGATAAAAGTCCTCCTCTACTGGCCCGTCTGTGCCTCCAGTCTGAGAATTCGAAGCGCTAGTGGGAACCATCAATAGAGAGAGGGTCTGGGGTCCGGACGGAGTGAGCTCCGTTTCTTCGCCATTCTGGATGTGGAAGGCAAGAATATTATTGATGCTGTAGAGGAGTCTGGGATCATGGATGGATGACATCGCGATAAAATGGAGAAGACTGGTCTGTGGTACTCGTCTGTGGCTCCGTATGCGGGGAAGCGATGACGTCGCTGTTTCCAGCTGCTAGGTCGAAGGCACGAGTCGACAACTCAAAGAACAACGGGCTTGAAAGAACTAGAAGATTCAGAGAAGGAAAGAAATGAAAGAGATGGAAAAGGAGAAAGGAGAAGGGTAGTGTTTATAGCAGGATAAAATGGCAAAGTCTTGGTCTCTTGGGCGCGGGGGTCATTATTATTCTTAGCACTCAATTTAAATAGACTGCCGCCAACTGAATCAGGGCAGTCTTGGCACTGCTGCGCCACATGATATCAGTGATGATGCACCGCCACAGTTTCTTTCACATTGATCCAATAAAATGCATGTGGCGGTGCGATCTGTGGCGGAAATACTTGGTATCAGGGACGAAGTCACGGTTCTTTGTCTGATCCCTTTCCTTCGACCTGATTAAAATTGAAAATGTCTGGATGAGCACCCATAAGCAATTCCGTTGTTCAGACCCATAACACTCACCGGAAAGCCTGACTGGTTGAATAAGGAGCCGGAGTGGTCGCACGGCGCTTTCCCCACGAATTACTCCATAGTCCACGAACCTCTGTGTTGCCGGCGGCTGCAGATGGAAGAGATGCTGGAGATCTAGAATTCAACTCTCTAATCTGGTTTTCTTTCCCAGGGTAACCGCTTACTACGCGCTCAGGTCCTTATTTAGGGATAAATGAATCAATATGGCTTCTTTTCAATTGGTATCCGACATCCATCTGGAAGCTCCGCCGGCATATGACCTATTCAATATACCTTCGAAAGCGCCCTATCTAGCTCTTCTAGGCGACGTTGGTTATGTCAAAGACGACGGCTTTTTCACCTTTCTTGAAGCCCAGCTTCGAAAATTCCAAGTGGTTTTCCTAGTGTTAGGAAACCATGAGCCCTGGCATTCCACTTGGGCGACGACGAAGGACAGGCTGAAACGCTTCTCTGATAGCATTCGCCAGAGAAAGGCCTCAGAAGAGCATACAAATGCCCAAAATAAACTCGGAGAGTTCGTTTTCATGGATCAAACACGCTACGATATCTGTCCGGACGTCACAATACTAGGGTGCACTCTTCACTCCAGAATCACCCAGAGCCAGGAAGAGCGCGTCTCCCTGTCACTCAATGACTTTTACCGGATCAAGAATTGGGATATGAAGGGCCACCGTGCCGCCCATGAGGCTGATCTCGCCTGGCTCAACAACCAAGTCACCAACCTTGCTCGATCGGATCCGCATCGCAAGATCCTCATCTTCACTCACCACAGTCCCACACATGACACTCGTGCAACTGATCCTATGCATGTGAACAGTCCAATCACGTCGGCTTTCGCGACAGATCTCACTGGGGAGCCGTGCTGGGAGAAACCCCAGGTGCGCTTATGGGCGTTTGGACACACGCATTACAATTGTGATTTTGTCGACAGTAGAACTGGGAAACGGATTGTGGCGAATCAAAGAGGCTATTATTTTGCGCAGTCAAAAGATTATGATCCGGAGCTGGTGGTTCGTGTATAGTTGCAGCCGTAGAGGTCTTCCGTATGGATTTTGATCTTGGACAACCGGGGCAACATCATCAACAGAGGATCCTTCGATCTTTTAAAGTTTTTTTCCGAAGCAATAACAGATAAGGATAGTAGACTAGAGAATATTTCGTTTATTGAGATGGCCAGTGTCGGGTTCTACAGCGAATGATCACACTGCCATCGATCCAGACAGGGTCCCTTTGGACAGCCGCGGTTAACCGAGGCATAATCGAGCTGCTTTCCCCGTGATTTCGCTCTCGCCCTCTCGACACATCCCACTCGGACTTCCTCTTCCTCTTTTTCCTCTCTCTTCCCCTCTTCTACATGCTTCACAAGTTCGGGTTTATCCTCCTTCGGTCCTAAAGACTTACCGTGTCACAAATTTAGTCATGGCATCCATCGCCCGTGCTCTGCGGCCCTTGTCCCGCACCGCTCCCTCCTTTCGCCTCGCAGCCAGACAGCCATTGCCATACCGACTGGCACAAGGGTACGTTCTACATTGACTTTAATTGATTTTCCACATGCGAGACGACATTGGTCCTGTCAAAATTGTTCACATGTACTGACTTCCCAATCAACAGCACCCATGCTTTCTCTACTACGTCCCGCCGGCGGGACGTCGATATCTCCAGCCTAACCCCAACCCCAATCACCCATCTGTCCGAAACCGAGTCGCTGATGGCCGAAACCGTCTCCAAGTTTGCCCAAGAGCAGATTGGACCCAAAGTGCGGGAAATGGACGAGGCCGAAGTCATGGACCCCGCACTGGTCGAGCAGCTGTTCGAGCAAGGGCTGATGGGCATCGAGATTGCCGAGGAGTACGGCGGAGCCGGCATGAACTTCACCTCCGCCATCGTGGCCATCGAGGAACTGGCCCGCGTCGACCCCAGCGTTAGTGTCCTGGTGGATGTGCACAACACCCTCGTCAACACGGCCTTTAACAACTGGGCCGACGCCGCGCTCAAGAAGACGTGGCTGCCTAAGCTCGCTACCGGGACCGTCGGTTCGTTCTGTCTCTCTGAGCCGGCGTCCGGATCCGATGCCTTCGCCCTGCAGACCAAGGCGGAGAAGACGGCGGATGGGTACAAGCTCAATGGATCCAAGATGTGGATCACCAACTCCATGGAGGCTGGGGTCTTCATCGTCTTTGCGAACCTGGATCCTAGCAAGGGCTACAAGGGCATCACGGCCTTTGTGGTCGAGAAGAACACCCCCGGATTCTCCATTGCCAAGAAGGAGAAGAAGCTGGGTATCCGGGCTAGCAGCACCTGCGTGCTCAACTTCGATGATGTCGTCATTCCCAAGAGTAACCTTCTCGGTGAGGAAGGCCAGGGTTACAAGTACGCCATTGGCTTGCTGAACGAGGGCCGTATCGGTATCGCTGCTCAAATGACCGGTCTGGCATTGGGTGCTTGGGAAAACGCCGCCAGGTAAGATTACACTCCCTATCGAGCAAGATACTCATGTTCTACCCCAACATACCACTCACATCGATGACAGCTACGTCTGGAATGACCGTCGTCAATTCGGCCAGCTTATCGGAACTTTCCAGGGTATGCAGCATCAGCTGGCCCAGGCTTACGTTGAGATTGCTGCCGCTCGGGCTCTCGTCTACAATGCCGCGCGCAAGAAGGAAGCGGGTCAAGACTTCGTCCAGGACGCCGCCATGGCCAAGTTGTACGCATCACAGGTTGCGGGCCGTGTGGCCGGCTCCGCCGTCGAATGGATGGGCGGCATGGGCTTTGTCCGTGAAGGCATCGCCGAGAAGATGTTCCGTGACAGCAAGATTGGTGCCATCTACGAAGGCACAAGTAACATTCAGCTGCAGACAATTGCTAAGCTCCTGCAAAAGCAGTACACTAAATAAATCTGAAGCTGTTTCTTTTCCCTTTCCTTCCCCCCTCCCCTTCCCGTTGCGTATATAGTCGGCGTAAGTGTGTTATAGGATGTTTGATTTGAGCGCAATGATGGGGGGTTCGGCGATTTGACCCGGACGGCAGAGCCACTCCAACGCCCTATTGGCAGCGCCTGCAAGTCTTATTTTGTGGAAGACTAACGACGATCATTTTGCATGTATGATATCAGCATTTCGGCTATAGATAGAAGTGAGAACATTTCTTCGCCTCGCTTCGGAAAACAGAATGAAGCTGTCATGGTTCGATAGAGACTATTCCCTTTTTTCCTCGTCACCGGAGCTGTGGCGCATTTCGGTGTTGGAGGGCTCATCTCACTGTCCCCTCATAGAGTTGTGGTGGGCTCTGGAGCGAACAGAGGTGGGAACCGGCTCGAGTTTGCTCGTAAGAGCCCGTCGCAATTGATTCCTCGGCACCATTTCACTGATGTGCATGCTTCATCGACGGATAAGGAGCATTGTCGGTGGAGGTTTCCTGCAAGTGGAGTGGCCTCGCCATCGACCGACGACGACACCCCAAGTCCTCCGAGCATATGTGCGAGCCTCTCCGATCGAAGTGACGTCGCTAACTCAATCGACATGCGTCGAGTCTTCTTCAACGGGAGTAGTGAATCTCGTGCTCCACGCTCAGACCAATGATGAATCTTCCCATGAATGTTCGGGTATCGGATGGAAAATGCTAGGAGTTCCCGGTAAGTGAGTTCAAGACTGATGTGGCCAGCCGTAGCTGTAGCCGTGATTTCCTCCTGGCTGATTTCCTCCTGGCTGATTAACGGCATGAGGGTAGTGCTGCGAGCCTTGAAGTACTGGATACCCCCCGGCTGCTCGTTCTGGTGGAACTTCCGGCATTGGCATGGGCGGTCGGCTGGGTACATATGGCAAGGCTTGCTGAGGATGACGTAGAAGCTGTTCTCCATGAGCACTCTCCGGCCCGCTGGCTCGAAAGTACTGTGGATATTGTTGGAAAGTGGGATCCGGTGGGTGAGCGACGTTGGAGGTGTTGAAATTGGCGTGCGGGATTGTGTTGGACATTGTATGAGAAGGCTGGGCCTGCGCCTCGAACCCGTAAGGTTCGGCCCTGTTGCTGTAATCCGCATCTGATGATTCGCATAGAGATGAGGACCGCGTCGAGCCGTACGTCTGCCATTCCTGCGCGACCGAAACCTGGCTAGAGGCGGAAAGGACAGAGGGCGCTCTAGACACCGGAGGCACGTTCAGGGACTCCGAGTAATGAGTTGGAGGCGGTGCCCCTGCTGGGCTGCTGTAAGATCCTTCTGCGAGGTCAAACCGAGACGTTAGCAATCAATACGAGTACACAAGGGCGCAAGGGAGGGATGTTTCCCAGTCACATACCGACGCTGCTATATCCTTGGTCACCAGTGAGCATACCCAATTGCTGCCTCAAGGCCTTGATCTCATGCTCCAGGGCAGCATTCCGTCGCATCACGTCATCGAATTGTTGATTCTTGGCTTGAAGCTCAGCCACTTGGTTTTGCAGTCGCTCGATGTGTTCTTTCGTCCGCTGACGAATGGTTCTCTGTGCCTCTCGATCATTGGCACGCTTTCGCGCCAGCTGTTCAGCGGAGAGAGTTGTCACTTTACGGGTTCCCGCGCGGGATTCTCGCTTCTTTGTTGCCGATTGCGTGGTGTCTTGGTTAGAGCTCATCGTGGTGTCTTGACTGTTGCAGCGTACAGTGAGTCGTTCGCTGCCAGTTTGATCTGACCTGTTCTTCAGAAGGGAATTGCTCGTCGTGATTGCGCATGCATTGACCAGTGATATCAATGCCTATCATACAGGATTGCGCATGGGCCCGCCGAGAATCAGAAGTTGGCTGTCGAGGTTTCGATATGTGACTTTGGTCGTTCCATGTGCGTGGGTCGCGGTAAACCTCCGGCTTCAATCTAAGGACACGAAAGGCCACTGACTGGTACTACTGACCATCAGATAAATGATGAAAGAGATGCCAGGGTGATGGGTCAGAAGCCTTTTGTGGCGCTCGAAGAAACGTCCCTGGTTGAACCGCTCGTCTGATGTGAAACGCCCGGACCACAACTAAAAGAGCCCCCAGGTTCGGCATCTTTATATATACCCTCGGAGTTAGGCGCATCCGGCCCTAAAAAGTACCTAAGATGGACTCCTCGTTCTTTGCGCTGTCAGCACAAGTGCGACAGTCGATATCTGCCAAGTTCCAAAGGGAGATAGTGTCTCCCGAGCACCCTGCCAGGTTACCGACCGTCTCCTCGAGCATTAGGCCGCCAATGAACAAGTTGCAAGGACGAGACAACCTGTGGGATTGGCAAGAAGAGGGATAGCGCCTTTCTCCAAGAGGCTACTTCATGGTGGCCTATGGGTCGGCGCTATTTGCATTTTCCGATCTTCCCGACTACGAGTATGCTCCACGTCTGATTCGCATCAAGAGAGCAGATGATTGGTAACTGGTGACCCCCTCACAGATATTTCCGTTTGCTCAACTGCATCGGTAGCATTGCAGTGGACTTGTCCCAGCATATCCGCATCGCTGTCAATATAATGAGGCGATGAGGGAATCATCCTTGATCGCGGCTGCTACCCCTCGAGGCCATGGACTGGCTATGGAGTGCTAAGGCAAAGTGGCACCCAGCATAGAGAGCCTGCACTCATTGCATTATCTAATTCTTACACTGGTTGACTGACCCATGTTAATGTAGATAGTTAGCAGTACTCCATACGTAGATAATTAATGAATTAGTTAGTGGGCCCTGGAGAATCCTGGCCACATGGTGAGGGCGTGAGACCGACTGGAGGAGCATTAGAAATTAGGCCAACCCCGGGCACATCGCCGAGGAACTCCAGCGCTAAAACGCCCCAAGTCCAAACTTTGTCGGCTGAAAATAATCGCATAAATGCATTGGAGGGGGTTGTTGCACCTGAATGGTCACAAGTCAGCTTCCAACAGGGACTCGGACTACGCGAAAGAGAGAGAAAAAAAAAAAAAATAGAAAGGAACCCATACCAAAATGCATGGAGACAAAGGATGTGTGCGGCTTCTTCAATCTTTTGGAAAACTTGAAGCGAATCACACACTAGTCCTTGGCTTAGCAACGTTCGTCGCACCGGTCCTCTAGATAGTAGTTAGTGGAATTCGGGGACGTATGATTCTTCCCGACAAGCGTGCCTATCGTGGTACTCTCCAGCTAGTCCAGGAACCTTCTTTGAATTCTTCGCTATTGTAATTTGTGAGCCGAGTTCGTCTTGCATAGGATTCTGGGTCAAGGAGCGGCCCATCATCCTCATCCTCCAACGATCTATTCCCAGAAGGGAAAATCCGATCTGGTATGAGTTGTCTCAGATCTTGGAACTATGGAAGCGATCCAGAATGCGGAAACCATGGGAGTGCGCCTGGGAGTCTGTGAGGATTCGACAAGGCTGGCGATGATAGACCAGGTGAACGTCGTCCCCAATTTCCTCTAACTACGTAATTTGAATGAATCCATTGATCACGCCATTCAGACGAGATAAATCATTGACCAATAAGTGGGTGAATCGGTCAAGGGTCCGGTTGTTTGTTTGTATTTCTGGGTCTGCGACTGCAAAAAAAAAAGATCAAGGGTGTTGTGTATGTAGAGCGGGCATCGGCAATTTCTCAGAGCCCAGCATCAAGAGAGCCAGTAAGCAAAGGGCATCCACGTCGGGAAATTTTTTACGGCGCACTCAACAGCCGGAAGAGAGATTTCAGGGCCTCTAAAGGCTAGCTGAACAATAATCGAACCGCTAGGCATGACGCAAACGACGGCCTGGATTGATATTATCACCTTTGAGAAAGTTGATTTGCTGTCCACAAAGCTCAACGCCGAGAACGATAGGGCTCTATTGCGGAGTAGCTTTCAGGACTTTTCCCTTCTAGTTTTTTCGGTGTTAGCCAAGCCAAACGGAAATGGCCAGTAGATCTTGCGCATATCACAATTAGTCGAATCTTGAACCAACCGAGCCTGAAAGAATCACTTCAGGATCGTGCTTTACCATTCAATTCTGAAACGACATTGGTTCTCAATAATGGCCAATGTATGCAATACTGAGCAATCAGGCGGAGCGGTGAGTCCCGAGGATGTACCGGTGTTGGCGTGTGGCACGCAATCACGTCAATGCTAAGACTTATGTGGGCCTGGCGGCTGCACAACATAAGGTAGCCATAGATGGGCGTCAAATGATTGATAATCAAATCATAAACAACGTGGCCTCGAAAGTTGATCCCAATTAGCCTAGGAAGGAACTGGTGACATGGTCAACAGCCGCGGACAGCTTGAACTCTTTATTTTCCAGATCCCAAGGTTCATCATATCGAGATGACTCGAGACAGAGCCCAAGACTCTCTGTCGATGTTTTCGCGCAGTCGTAGCGAAGTACGAAGTCCCATTGTCGTGGTTATTATTACTGCCATAGTGGATCAATCGCGGCTCGGTTGGTTTCCGGTCGCATAGTTTGGGCTAAGGGCTCAAGGAGTAAGTCTGGTTCACGGAATCGGCCAGACTGTCACAGTAGTGGTAAGTTCATCTTGAACAGTAAATAATGCCAATACTCCGTAGTGTCGCATCAATTCCACTTCCAAAGCCTCCAAAGCCATCAAATCGTAGCACGAGCTCGCGAGACCCGACTGTTGGGCTCTTCTTAGCCGCCTGCACCTACATTATTGGAAGCAGTTAGTTATCCATAGATGATATCTATCGGTTATCCTTGCATTGTCAGTTGTCCAGTGCGAAGCTTTCATTCAGTCACGGTTCTCCAGCCCGCACTTGCTTTGTTTGCATGACGCAATGTTCGCTGGTGAGTGAACAGAATGTTGGATATGGAGATATCTCAGCTGTCGATATGCCTGTTCACTGTTGTGAGGCAGCTCGATTCAAGCTTGGAGTATCTGCCAGTACGATGTGCTAACCGGAGACGTCTGAGGAACCGAGATGGGAACTATTTCCTATTCCTCGTCTCTTAGAAGTTTCGTACTTCTTCAAGAGCTAGCAAATGGAAAATGACTTGGCTCTCGTTGGGAAGAAGATGGTACCTCGGGTAAAGAAGTTGTACAAGAAGAGTAACCAAACTACCGTACACAGGAAGTAGCAGCCTGAGCGTTCAGGCTGCTACTTCCAGGCCACTCCGCCCGATACGTGACAGTTGGTATCTTCTCAACACCGGTTCCTCCAGCTTGTGCCTTGACATGCTTCGATTTTTACTTTATGCAGACTGTAATTGCGATTAACGCTTCTGGATGAAGTTGCGTCCGAAATAAAGGTGCAAATCTCGCGACACTGAGTCAAGATGGATCCAGATTATAAGGCTCGCAAAGAGGCCTTTGTCTCAGGTCTTGCAGGAGGAAGCATCCTGGAAATCAACGCCGTCACCCTGGTTGCTTCGGTTAGTGTTACTCTACCTTATTGTGGCTACTCCGTCTACATTTCTTTCTCAACTAATGGAATCTCTTCGCGATCGATCAGGTATCCGTTTTCCTTTGGTCAATTCTACAATCTCGCCTATCCTTTTTCACTCCCTACAGCGCCGCAGGCCTCGTCGTTGATTTCCTGCTCAATGTACTAGCTATCTTGTTCGCAACGACTTTATACTCTTCCGCGCCTCTTCTTCTCAATCTCCTTCTAATATCCCCCACTCTGCTGATACTCCTCAATACTAAACGTCCTCGCACACCGGTCAAAGCCAAACCTCCTCGCCCGTCCGCTGTAGCTGGGAAAGATGCCCCCAGGCATGCGACAGTCTTGCCAGAGCCTCTGCCCATTCATCCGTTCCTCACGACCTATCGCGCCGCCATGATGATCGTCACATGTGTCTCTATTCTGGCCGTCGACTTTCGTGTTTTCCCACGCCGATTCGCCAAGGTAGAAAACTGGGGTACATCACTCATGGATCTGGGCGTTGGATCTTTTGTGTTTTCGGGCGGAGTAGTATCCGCTCGCTCACTGCTCAAGAGCAGAATCAATGGCTCTCAAAAGTTGCCCCTAGCCAAGAGGTTGATTGCTTCGACGCGACACTCTATTCCTTTGCTCGTCCTCGGCCTGATTCGGCTATACAGCGTCAAAGGTTTGGACTATGCGGAGCACGTCACCGAGTACGGCGTGCATTGGAACTTCTTCTTTACGTTAGGTCTTTTGCCTCCGTTCGTGGAGATCTTTGACGCCTTGGCTGCGCTCATTCCGTCATACGAGGTTCTCTCACTGGGAATCGCCGTCTTGTATCAAGTCGCTCTGGAGTCAACGGACTTGAAGAGCTACATTCTCGTCTCCCCTCGTGGGCCAAGCTTACTGTCCAAGAATCGCGAAGGCATCTTCTCCTTCTTAGGTTATCTCGCGATTTTTCTTGCTGGCCGTGCGACCGGCATTCGGATAATCCCTCGCGGGACTTCTTCCTCAAAGAGTCCAGAACAGGCCAGAAGACGCGTACTGACCAGCCTGAGCATTCAAGCGTTCGCGTGGACCGTTCTATTTGTGTTAAATTCCACTTATGCGATGGGATACGGAGCTAACATCCCTGTCTCGCGCCGCCTCGCTAACATGCCCTATGTCCTTTGGGTTTCGGCGTTCAACAACGCGCAACTCTTTGTATTCTGCCTGATCGAAACCTTCTGCTTTCCGGCGGTTCATCGGACAACAACTCAGGAGAGCGAACCTGAGCGAGTCGCCTTT